AACTGTTTCGTCGGAGTTTGACCGACTCATCAGGAGGCTGAACCCTCAACAGTCTGCAGAATCCCCTCACTGATTACACTGTAAATGATAATCTACCTTAACCAAAATCAAAGTAGACTATCACTCACCCACACCGGATGGAAAACTCTCTATATATATATGCAGGCGTTGAGGAGACTCGACGCAGCTAGTGGGACTTGGCCTCAGGGAGCAAGTTTCGGGTCAAGCAGAATTATTTTTTACTATCCCCGAATACAACGTACGGTCATTATAGCCGTATTTAGACTGAAAGCTACCCCAAATTCGGCTGCAATGACCGGCCTACGTTGTATTCGGGGGAAGACTGTAAACACAATTTACTACCGTTCCTGACGATCATCATCACCACACCCATCATCATTCGTCATCAACCATAATTCGTCATCAACCATGAACCATCGTCCTACCGTCTTCACCCGAATAGAACGCCGGTAATTATCGCTGTACCTGGACTGGAAGTTGCCCCAAATACAGCTATAATGACCGGGCGTTCTATTCGGGTGAAGACGGTAGTCATCCTGCTGTTACTTTCAGAGCGTCCTAATCAGCGACCCGATCCGCATACTAGTCACTCAGGTCATTAATCTTATTTCATTTTATTTTTATTGATCACCAGCTTTTTTTTTTTTTTTTTTTTTTTTTTAACCACTAGTACCTTTGGCGTCCGGTTTCGACAAGTTCTTCCCAGCTCCCGAACTTTCAGGAGGCCGATCCTGACGTTGATCAATCTAATCGGCGGCCGTCGCATCGTTCCGGCCTCCTGAAAGGTCGGAGGCCGAGTATTTTTGAACCGACAAAGGTACTTGTGCAGGGTTTCCCTTTTTGCTCGAAGGAAATTTCCTGTTAAGGTAATTGGAAGCAGGGCAGTAAGACGAACACATTCAGATACCCGTCAGAGCGCTCTCACCGAATTACCCCTACGCAGAAGGCCTCAGGGTGCGTTCATCGATGGCGGGCAGAAGACGCCAGAGCACCCCCCCACCTGCCAGTCTCGCTCATCAGGGAGAGTTTCCACTCATTATCCAGGTTTGACGAGTCATCTGTATTCGTACATACAGAAGAGTGTACGTACCTTTAAGAAAAGAAAAACAAAAAAAAAAAAGAAGAAGAAGAAGAAGAGTGTACGACCTGCAGAACAGATCCTGTTCAAGTACAGTCGTACTTTTTTTTTTTTTCTTACAAAAAAATATTGTGATTGCAAGCCGGGAACCGGGCCCGGCATCCCTCACAGTGTTGCTGTACTGTAACCACACGGGGCAAGGCAAGGCAAGACAAGGCACTCTCTTGGCCAAGCCCACGTCCAGCGACAGTTTGTCACGAACCCTCGGTACTGACTGAGTAAGCAAAAATGCTGATAAACAAAACTCACTGAGTAAGCGAAAAAGCGGATCAAAAAAATTCACTGAGTAAGCAAAAAGGCGACAGAACGGTAACAGAAATTCACCGAGTAACCAAAAAGTGACAAAAAGGTGAAAAGTAGAAGCACAGCAGAACACCGAGGTCACAATCAATTCCGCATGATTCGCTATCTAAACACTAAACCGTAACTCAGGACAAACTCACACTACGACGTTCCCAAAAATTCAATGCATCTGACTGCAATTGCGGCCAGACCTGGATGAATCTGACCATAATCATGAGGCGTGGAGCGCAGCAGGCTCCGCTTATCCATCCATAATCATGATTCATGATGATCTTGGTTGCCAGCGAGGGAACGGCGGAAGGGCTGAAGGAGGTCCAGCGCGGGAGATCCACTGGTGACTCGAACAGAGACCGCAAACCCTGAACCCTGAAGCTGAACTGAGGTTTAAACTCGGCTACGCTTTTAAACGTTTTTTTTAGCGTCGCGCAGTTCAGAATCTGCTGAAGTTTGCATAAATCAAACAAACAACGACGAAAATGATAATGATATGATGACCGTTAAGTCAACGTCAATCGCTTTTCAATCAATCAATCAATCAACCAATCAATCGCTAATCAATCAATCAATCAATCAGTCAGTCGAGCAACGAGTCCTTGGTCACCAAGCCACATCACCAGCTGTCAAGCCGCGTCAGCAGCATTGCCCACGGGCATTCTAACGCGAGCAAGCCACGTCAGCAGCATCGCCCACAGGCATTTCCTCGTCATCAAGCTACACGTCACTAGCTGCCAAGCCACGTCAGCAGAATCGCCCATAGGCATTTTTATCCACGCTGTCCGACGCCACGTGATTGATGTCATCGAGCCACGTCAGCACTTCGTCGTTCACACGCCAGCCGCGTCAGCAGTATCGTCCAAAGACTTTGAGCTACGTCATCCTGCGCGCCGCCACGTGGATCGTGCTGCCACGTCAGCATCGTCCGCAGGCGTTGTACTTGACGCTGGTGGCGGCCTCGTTGTCAATGAGCGTGCGCGGCGGCGGCTTGGAGTCGCAGATCTCGAACAGACCGGTCTCTCCTTCGGCCAGCAGGATGAAGAGGTTATCCGATTTGCGGTTCCCGTTCGCTCTGTTCCCCGAGAAGCTGTTGCCTTTGCAGAGAGCGGGCGAGCCCTCGTCCTCGGTGTAGAAACGGATCGCTCCTCCCAATCCCGACTTGTAGGTCGCGACGTTGTTCTTGAACACGTTGTTGGACACGATGCACGACGCCTCGGAGCAGGACAGAGCTCCTGCGCCCTCGCCGCCGGCTTTGTTCCCCTCGAAGCTGCAGCTGTCCACGTGTACGGTTCCAGGCCTCAGAGCGACGGCTCCTCCCCGATTGCCCGCCACATTGCTCGCAAACTTGCAGCTGGTAAGACTGCCCGCAGTATCGCTGAGTGTTCTGATTGCCCCTCCGTTGCCGTCCGCTCGATTGCCCATGAAATGACAGCGACTGATTGTGAAGAACGGTCCGGCTATGTTCAATGCGCCGCCGCTTCCCGAGTCGGGATCTTCCGACCTTCTTGCGCGATTGCCCCTGAAGACGCAGTTGTCAAGTACCAACTTGTCCCCCGAAGCGGTGATCGCTCCCCCTCCCTCAACCCTGCGGGTCACCAGAGAACGGAACTCCACGTTGCTGACCGTTAGATCGGCCTGCGCGACAATGCCGCTGTACTTGCCGCGACCGTGGATGACCGGTCGCTTGCTCCCGACCCCGACGATCGTCAGCGCTCTGGTCAGCTCCGGCAGATCGCGATCGAGGGTCACATCTCCCTTCACCTCGATGCGGCTCACGCTGGGATTCGTGTAAGCGCTCAGAAACTCTTTCACGCCATAGCCATGAACTCCAGGAAGCAGAGACACTGCCACCACCATAGCTGTCGCCGCCGTCACCAGAACCGCGGCCATGGCCGTCGGCCGCGCAGCACGTCGGCGAGAACAAAGAGCTCTCCCACTGCCATGACATCCCGCCGCCATAGCCATTGCCACCTTCTCCTCTCTGTACTCTCTCTCTCTCTCTCTCTCTCTCTCTCTCTTTCTCTTGCGACCTGCCCACACAACAACCGTTACGCTAGTTTGCCTCACACACAAGGAGAAGCACCTCCGCCGCCCCTCCGTCCTCCCCCCTCTCTTCGCGCTAAGATTTTGATGTGAACGTCATCATCAGAATCTATGATCCATTCGAACGACTACTACCGCTTTGTCCAGTTCGGACAAGTGCCGCCTCCATTTATTAACGATAGGAGGAGTCTGTCTGTGGCCACTCAGTGTGTGGCCTGCGTGTGCGTCGCACACGGCAAAAGGCCTTCTCAGCTCGTCGTGAGTGGCATCAAAACATCTATCCACTCAGGATCAGGGGGCTGGCGTCTGGACGCAATTGCGGTCGGATGCATCCGGCTCGGGCTGCAAAAATTGATTCCCTCTGTGTGAAATTTCCTCTGTGTGAAATGACTCAGGGCAACCCCCACTACCGGTAGGTCTTTTTCACTTCTGTGCGGACGTGATTGCGGTCAGATTCATCCGGGTCTGGTTGTAATTGCCCTCAGCTTTTATTTCCGAAAGTGCTAACGTGAGTGTGCCCTCAGGCGACGCCACGTGGCGCGTGGTTAGGAATCGAGAGCATTACCAAGCGAGAAAGGTTTTTTTTTTTTTTTTTTTTTTTACCAAGGGTTAACTCAATGATACTTGAGAGGCTTATGTAAGCTGGGGAAAGCTCAGCAATTCCACAAATGAACCTGAGCCAACTGATCCTCCAACAGATACCGAACAGACAACCGGTAACCATTCCTCCGTCTCCCTACTGAGCCTAGTGTGCCTCTCTACCCCCATCCCAACCATCTGGTCCAGAATTGGGTCCAAACCGAGTGTAAAACTTGTTACCTCAGAGCGAGCCTCACCGCGACTCTACACCTGAACCCCGTCTCTCCTCTTTTGTAACCAGTTGGGAATCCGAAGTTGTCCGTCCTGCTTCACCAAAGCGAGAAAGTTTTCTCTACTTTCTTCTTCTTTTTTCTTTTTTTCTTTTTTTTTCTTGTCACGAGGAGCTTTTTTTTTTTTTCCCGAGGGACCACGGATCAGATATTAAACTGATCAGAACAGATACATTGCACCTGATCTATTTTTAGCCCAAAGGCCGAGAAAGGTATAACGAGGAGCTTTTCCACTTCTGGAGAGATTACTCGCACTAGCACTTTTCCTTCAATGTATCTGAGGACAATTGCTGCCGGGCGTGCATGAATCTGCCCGCAGCTAAGTCCGGAACTTCGTAGAAAAAGTCCTCCTGCTGTGAATATGCCCCTCAAGGCGGATACATGCAGCTGTGGGCTGTAACTGCCGTCAGATAGTGTGAGTGTTCCTGGTCGTAAATGCACTCAGATGCGTCTTCGAAAGTGCTAGGGTGAGTTTGACCTCAGGCGGCGCGTGGTTAGGAATCGAGAGAGCCTGACCAAGCGAGGGGCTTTTTTGTTTTGCTTTTTTTTTTTTCCTTCTTGTTCTCCAAATTGAGCCGTTTCTCGATTTATCCGTGTCATCCTTAGGCAGGGGCTAATCTTTTTTTTTTTTTTTTTTAACTCGATGGAAATTTTATTTCAAACGGGCCCAGTGCCCAAGGCTTACATCAACATAGCGAAGGAGAAGTTCTTTACCAAGGTAAAAAAAAAAAAAAAAAAAAAAAAAAAAAAAAAAAAAAAAAAAAAAAAAAAAAAAAAAAAAAATAAGATGAAAATAACAGAGGGCAACTGGCCTCGGGTGCTAATCTTCACTGTATTGTTCCAAATTTAACGGACGTACCGAAGGACCGGCGATGAGTTCCTTTTTCGTTCAAAAAAAGAGATTGTGAGAGGATATTTGGAGGGGAGGAAAAGAAAAAAAAGAGAAAAAAGAGAAAGAAGATTAGGATGGCCCCTTCGATGTCACGCATAAATCGAAAACAAAAAAAGAGTGTCAAATGCATAAATCGAGATTGAGATTGTGAGAAGATATTTGGAGGGGATGACACGCATAAATCGAAAACAAAAAAGAGAACAAAGAGATTGAGAGGGTACTCGCACCAGCACTTCCTTCAATGTATCTGAGGACAATTACTTTCGTACGTGCATGAATCCTACCGCAACTACGTCCAGATGTCAGTATAAAAGTCCTACCTCGAATATTACGCCCTGCGGGCGGCTACATGCAGCTCCGCGCTGGAACTGCCGTCAGATACTGTAATCAGTATTCCGCCGGAGTGTCAAATGTGTCGGCAGGGGATTGAGTAGGAGTCGAAGAATGAACCATGGACCCCACAGGATGGAGGAAAGGATCTTTGGTGGGCCCCAAGGTGAGGTAGGCACCCACGGCGGCGGCATACGCGGCTAGGTCCCACTTATTACACGAATTAAGCGATCTTGACCGTAGATAGCATAGATCAACGGCCAGAATCTCTTAATCCGTGGAAGTGGGACCTTGCCCCGGAGCGTTCGCGCTGGGCTACCGGACGTAGTCTCCACGCAAATGTTTTCGTCGCGCTACCGGTAGTCTACGCGACTGTTCACCCCTATACTCTTCCCCCGAACACAACGTACCCTTATTTTGGCTGTATTATCTGGCCGGAAATATAGCTTGTATACATTCATTTGTAGGGTGCGTTATGTTCGGGGGGAAGACGGTAGAGTGAATTCTGTGCTGAGGTGGCCGAGAGTTACCGTTACCGGAGCTGTATGGGTAGTTTCCGGGGCAAGGTCCCACTAGCAAAGAGGATTCGAGAAATCTCCTGAATGTGGACATGTTTTAAGCAGAGATCCAGACAAGCAGTTGCATATTGATTTTCTGCACCACTGGACAAAAAGAGTCCAGATTCGGGGCTTTCAATCCAATCATCTTTGCTAGTGGGACCTCGCCCCCGGAGGGAGTGGAGCGACGAGCCACTGTCCGTCCGTCCTATTCCAATCGTGAAGCTCTCCCCATGAGGTCTGGGTTAATGGCTACCGGCCCCCATGAGGTCTGGGCCAATGACTACCGGGCCCCATGAGGTCTGGGCCAATGACTACCGGCCCCCATGAGGTCTGGGGCAATGGCTACGGCCCAAGAAATTGCCGCTGCTCCATCTCTGCCTTGAGTGGGGAAGAGAGTGCCTCTGTACTCCATAACAGCAGCATCCTCATGACCTTCATTGCCACCCTCGCACATACACCACCTGGGTCATAAATTCTTCTACCAAAGCTCTACCATAGCTGACAATCTACCCCTCAACCTTATACCTTCCGCGCCGCGGCGGGCGGCCCGGATATCCAGATCCAGTGACAAGCTTACAGCGTGGCGCTCGTGGCTTCAGTACACGATCGCCATAGCTTCAGTAGACGATCGGCCATCTCGTGGAGTACCTTGAATAATCAAGCACACCAGGCCGTGGCCTATACCAGTCAGTCAACCATGTACGCCGGCAAGTGTAACCCTTAGATTTCTCGGGGCCGAAGTGGACAATTCCACTTCCCAGTTAAACCACCAGGACTTGGCCCAGCTGTCCATGCCGAGCCAGCCGACCCCCTGCGCGCCAAGTTTCACCGAACCGCCGGGGCATCGTTTCAACTTTTTTTTGGCTGGCGCTTCCAGCCATTGTGGTCCGGTACCCCGAAGCCCGACAGGCGCAGCGCCTTAACGGGAAAGCCCCGCGCCCGATAGCTGGGCCAAGTACTGGTGGTTTAAGAGTCAAGATGCTTTAAGCTGGTGCAGGCTTCGTAACGAGCAACAATGTAGAGGCAGGCTTACCCAGCTGGAAAAGTCCAGGCTGTGGAATTTGCTCAATGTCAATGAGTGCTACAGACAGAGAATTCTCCCTTCTGGATTGTGTACACCCCAATTTACATGAGTCGTCAGAGAACCGGATGGGGTCGGAATCAAAATTGACAGGCTGTGCAGACACAGTGGCTCAAAGAGCATGTAGTTATGATGTTTTTTTGTCAAGCAGCTGTCTCCCTGTCGGCCTACATTAAACGCAGAGCCATTCGTATTTATGAGAATGGCTGGATTAGAATGCCCATGCTGGGTGACGAACCGAAAAGAGTTTTTTTTAGGAACAAAGGTAGAAATCTTTTGTCCTACGTAGCTTGTAATAAAGAAGTGGCTCAGTGGATGCTTGATATGGAGTATGATGGGATCGAATAGGGTGGAAAACAATACGATCTCCATGGATGTCTGAGAAAGAATTGCGGGTTTGGAGGGAGAAATTACAAATCTATGCCTTCTGGGTGACATATTTGTGCATTCCTATGGCCGCCCTGCCGCTTTTGAAAGATCTAGTAGAATTGGCATTCGGCGAAGTGATAAAGGAAGGTGCGGTGGCCAAAAAAAACAGACAAACCTGAAAGTTGCCAGTGTCAGTTTCGATCTGGAAATTCAATCAGGATCGAAAGCACGGTATGCCAGGTACTTAACAGTGGACCAGGTACTGAACATTGGACTCTCGAACGATGGGGGGTCAGTCGACATCGAGGTAGCTGCTTGAGATACCTCGTGGTGTGCTGTTTGCAAAGGATTTTTTAATGATGAATTTGATGAAGACTGCCCTGCTGGCAACTGGAGAGGGATCAGGGAGCCCAGACAACCTCAGAACTGCCAGTGGTGGTCCCTCTGATATGCGTACCCTGGAACCACGGCCCAATGGTACTTACATTCACCCAAGCCTCTGGGGCACTTAGCTTTCCGGTGGCGAAATTGGAGTCCCAACCAAGTGAGCTCTCCAGACCAGAGCGGAACAGGGGGCCCCCAGGAATTACCACCTGGTGTTTAACGACTGGACTAATCTTGAGTCCTCGTTCCCCATGCGACCCCCTTCTGATTTCCCGGAACCCTTCCCCCCTCACCCACTCTCTTTAGTCGAGATCCTTCTCTGAAAAACCTCAGCCCATCAGTCAAGAATTACCTCCAGTGCCCCCGGGGGTAGAAAAAGTTTCAGCAACAGCCTTGAGCCCCTGCACATCTGTGCAAGGGTGGAACCCATCAGATTTAGAGCAGGCAGTGCAGTCACATCAGGAAGAAACGCTTAGCCTGGCGGCCGGATTGGGGCTGAAGAGATGTCTCTGCAATGCTGTTATCGAATGCTTGCCTTTGTACGGGGCAGTTGGAGGCTCCTTTCTTTAAAACCTGCGCAGTCAATCCTCTGGATGCCAGAGTAATCAACGCTGGCAGGCTTTCCTCAACTCCTCTTCTTGGTTTCT